TAGCAGAGGAGGAGCATACAAGGTTCCTTTTGCTGACTATGTCCTTGATAATTCATCAATGGTAGCATTGGATGGATTGAGCAGAGGCTGCTGAGAAATCCATCGTGGACAAAATGTAATGATTTGCTTAGTTAACATTCTATTTAGTTTGCTTCACTTCTTGGGAGTGAAGCACCATGCATTGAGTGCTGGCAGGACAGTGGACCTCCCAAACCTTGCAAGGGAGAGAGGAAGAAGAAATATTTGGCTTTAAGACAAATCACAAAAGTCTGGCTGTATAAGGAAAGTATTGCTTTGCAAGAGTTGAGGCTTTTGCTGTACTATTCCATCAGAATTCCAGGGGGTTTGTGCACTTTGGGAGCTGGATATAAGCTGCAATGTCAGGATAGGATTTATTGCAAGGGAGAAAGCTCAGCATCATGTGCTGCATAGCCAAGGGGTTGAGCTCCTTGTCATATGATGAGCAAGAGCCTTCACCACCTCACAGCATCTCATTGCTGTCATGTCTCTGGACATCTCTGTGCTCTATTGCTGCTCTAAATTGAGTGTGATCACTTTGAAAGAAGCTGTCCCAAGAACGCTGCTGTGTCTGTGCACTGGTGATCTGAGAATCTGTGGCTTGTAGAATGTGGGTACAGCTATGGAACACACTCACCTTTCAGTGCACAAATTGATATTTGTGCTCTCAGTTGGGAGAAGAGTCCTCCCAAAGGGGTATTATGATGAAGAAGTGCTTCACTTGCTGTTGCAAGTGGAGAACTTTCACTTGAGTTTCTTCTTTCCATTTTTCCTATTGAAGACTATGAATGATCAGAAAATCTTTTTTTATGCATATAAGCATTTTTTCAAAAGGCATCTTCAAGTTTCTTCAAGTTTGAGAGAGAAAAGTAATGACACTGGACAGTTTGTCTTTTCCTACTGTGTGCATGAGGAATTTTCCTCTTTCAACTAGAGGACTCTCTTTTTGATCCCTTGCCTATGGGGATAAGTGAGTCCAGCAAGCTAGAGGACTCTCTTTTTGATCCCTTGGTACTTAAATGCCTATGGGGATAAGTGAGTCCAGCAAATTTCCCAGGTTTTCAGTCAGCTGGGAATGTTTTCTGCACACACAGCTCTTCTGCAAAGATTTTGATGTGAGGGAGATTGTATGGATTAGTTAACAGTGCTGTGCAGGACTTTCTTGAGGGGAAATTTCCCTCAGCATACATGCTAACTCCTGCTATGCAGACTCCAGTGCTCTGAGGTTTCATGCACTGGAGCTGGGGTTGGTCAAACCCCAAATATCATAGTTTTACTGGGGAGTACAGAGGTGGCAGCTATCATGTCCAAGTGCTCCCTATGAAGGACATTATTATCCCAATGGGGCCATGTGCAGCTGGCAGCTGGAAAACAATGGAAAAGGCAGCAATGTCAGCAAGTGGATCACAGTACAAGATGCAACAAGACACACCTCACCGAAGTCTTTGAAAGGTTTTTGAGGGCACAGTCTCCACAGCAGAGGAGGTGCTTCTAGTTGGGTTTTCAGGAATGGCTTTCCATGTGACTTAGGGTCATCCTTGATCTGCAGGAATATGTAATACCCAAAGTGGAGCAGGACTTCTCAAGGTGGTGCTCTGGCATTTAATGGCAGCATGGGCGAGAGAGAGTGTATAGCTGGGAAAATACAGGCTATGAATTATCTTTAAAGACAACTGAATGAGCAGAGCTCTCAAATGACTGCATTTTGCTCCTAGAGATTGCTCTACATACCATGCAGGGCATGTGGTTAGAGGAACCACATCCATTTTCTTTTTAAACTGAGGTCTCTATACAGCTTTGGTTGATTTTTGTCTTTTCTATTTTTCTGTCTTTAGCTGATCTTTCCACAGCTTACCTTCTTCCTTTTTGAGCAAGGGTAACCTCAGTATGCTACACTTAAACCAAAGCTGAACTCCTCTTTGGATCTACTGCAGACATTGCAAGTGTCATTAAAAATGTGTATTGCTGAAAAGGCTGAATTACTAAGGATAATAACACAGTAAAACACACGTTCCCTTCACAAATGTATTGTATATCGATTTTTTTTAACTAATAACCTTGACAAGTGCCCACACTATTTTTTTTCCTTAATGTGGTCTTTATATTTTCAGCCTGAGTATTAGCATAAATTTTATGGGATTTTCTGGGCATATTTGTGTCTGTATCTAAGATATATGATATCAACTGGCAGTGATGGTTGAACTAATCAAATACTACTGACAACTTAAAGCAAATTTTTAGGACTGTGAGATTTTGAGCATCTTCCCAGATACAGTATCTCCTGACTGAAAGCAGTCCTTGACTGTCAAGTTTTAAAACCAGATTTGGGACTTAATCTTTATGTAAGCAAAACACCCCAATAAGAAATATGTCTGAGTAAAGCCAAAAAGTCAGGTCCTCCCCTTAAACTTAGTCTGAAATGTGTGTGTGTGTTTATGGCCCTATTGCCATGGTATGTGAGAGATTCCAACCAGTGGGAACCAAGCAAGAGTCTACACTGAATGGACTTCTATTTTCTTTTCCTTTTTTTTTTTTTTTTGACTTGGCATTTGTTTCTTCTAGCAAACATTTTTAAAAACTCTCTTATTGCTAGAGGGAAAATTGACACCCTTTGCTTTCACGATGATACATTCCTAACACGTTTCCTTGAAGAGCTGGAAATGGTGCAAAAATCTGGTAAGATAAGTCTCTATAAAGCCTTAGAAGTCAAGCATTCCACTTTAGACATTTAAGACAAATGCATGGCAAAAACAAGTTGTGTTTCTTTTTTTTTTTTTAAGGTTTCTACTTAAAGTTCTGTGCCAAAGCTACAGTACTTATACATTTTCTAAATGTGTTTTAAGCAATAAGTTGTACAACATTTTTAGAACATGTGTTAAGCTATTTCTCTAAGAATGAAGCTCTTAACAAAACATAAGCACTCTGCATGAGATCTTAGCAGCAAAGTGCTTAAAAGATAAAGTAAGAATTGGTACCATGGGAAGAACACCAGCTGTAGAGCACACAGGTCCATTATGAGAAGTATGGTAGTGGGTAGGGAGAAAATGATTTAATCAGGAGTAAAACCAATTTTATTATAAGGGCACGCAGGGGGTGTGGCACCATAGTGAGAGGGACATTTCAAAATATCTGACAGATTTCAACAATGTGAAAACCCACCCTGTTCTTTAAAGTGACAGTAAACCCCATCAGGTCTCTCTTTTTGATGCTATTGTTAGCAGTTGACTGTTTAAAGCTGGCCTGCTAAGATGCTGTCGATCTAGTTCAATAGTGTGTGGCAAAATAAAAGGCTAATTGTTGAAATACGATCAATCAAATATGATCTTAGAGTCTAAAGAAGATCCCCTCTGGTAACTCATTTGAGATCAAATCATTACTTTTATGATTGAGGTAATTGAATGGGAAAAAAAATAAAGAAAGGGGGGAAAAAAAAAGAGGCTTGAAACCAAAGAAGCAAGCAAGACATCTGAATGAAATGCACAACTCTGCCTTTGTTCCAGCTTTGTCTCACATTACTCCAAGTTAAGGAATTGGGTCCATTCCTTTATTTGTATACAACTCCTGAATCCAGAAATTTTGAAGGCATTAATAGCGTTTATTAAATTAAAGTTCAAAGATGACTCCATTTGGATGAAGATTTTCTAGAGTAAATTCTACAGTGAGAAAACCATTGCATTAAAGTACTAGGGATCCAGACTTGTGGGTGTCCATGTGTTTCCAATAATTTCACCATTTTGTTTAATAACAGTTCAATAAAGAGGCTGCTCTTGAAGGCAGCTGAATTGCTAAACGTGAAATTTCAGTGACATTTAGTAAAACATTTCAGTACTGTGTTGCTTCAAATTGAATTTGTTCAGTAGTTTTCATGGTTGGCCCCCAATTTGCATTCAGACTGAAATTTTCTACAAGAAAGAATCAGAGCACATGGGAAAGGAAAAAACCCCACCAACTTAATTTTCAGTGTAACAGAACTTGGAGAAAGTGTGTGTCATTTTAATTTGGACTAATGAGGATTTTCACTTTCCTCAAGTTTTTTATGGATTATGATCTCACTGTTTATTATATTCTAACAGTATCACGCTCATAGAATTAAAAAGAAAAAAAGAAACAAACCCAAAGAAAAATAGAATAATCACCCAATCTTGTTTTATTTTTATTAGAAACTCTATTTTAGCATTTAGTTTCTTTCATATTTAAATTCCTTAGCTCAGTCAAGCTTCAAAAGGAAACATTTTTTTTTGTTTGCAAAACAGTTTTGGAGGCACTTGTGGTTTGTCTTTAGTGTGTTATCATTTTTGACAGCTTTGCATAGCCTAGGTAGGCCAACAGGGGTCTGTCTAATATTGTTGCTGGGCAAATCTTCCTCCCAGAGATGAAAACCAAACAAAATATTTTTGAAGCAGTAAGAAGGAATTAATATCCTTTCTCTCACAGTCCTCTATTCCTTGCTGACATTACATTCAGGCAAAAAAAAAAGGAGAAAAGCGTTACCCATTATTCCCTTGTACATAGCAAGGCTAACACATGTAAAGCAATAACTCATTTTCTATTGCCATGTTTAGCATATGTCTCCTGTTGGCTCAGCAAGGCCTTTAGGCCGGTCCCTTGAGCCGTCCATCGTTGGCAACTCTTAGCCCCTCGGCCTCAAAACCAAATAGCTTTGAATCATGTTGAGCTGTGATGCTAATTTTCATACTGATGCATTATGGGAATAAATGTATCTGACATACTGTGTCAATGGTACTGTCTCTTTGTGTCTCTTGTTTTTTTGTTAGCTGCATTCCTACAGATGGTATTCCATTGAAAATGTTCTCTTCCTACAAAAAAAAAAAAAAAAAAAAAACATGCACAGCACCAAACCTCTAGGTGCAGAAGGCTGTTAACGGTTGCTGATGATAGTAGGCAAACATTAACATAATAATTAGTGTCTTGTAATTGTTTCATTAAAACCAGTTGTTCCATTTCTCCTCGTGTTTTCCCAGAAGAGAAGCTGAATTTGGACGACAGCCAGTGGGAGGACATCCACGTTGTCACCGGAGCACTCAAGATGTTTTTCAGAGAGCTGCCTGAGCCGCTGTTCCCATACTGCTTCTTTGAACAGTTTGTGGAGGCGATAAGTAAGTACATCAGATACAGTAGAAGCTAGTGAAATAGCCTGTTATATAAAAATAATAACAAACTTAAAAATAGAAGAACAGAGGCATCTCAAATCTGACTTACCTTCCATTATCCATGATCCTGGGTTTTTTATTGGTTTTCACTGCCTTTTATCTCCTACAGCATTTAGGTATTTAACTGAAGAGGAGGAAAAAAAAAATCAAATTATTGATCTATAAATTTTGTCTATGCGATTTTACTGTAGTGCCTAAAATGGTTTAGGAAAGGAATTAAAATGTGTATGTATTCAAAATATGCTAGGCTGATAATCCATATATCCCCAAACACAAGAGAGAGACTAATAATTGTGAATTATGTTAGAAGGGGCTGTCTTTATGTTAATCAGAATGAAATGCGTGTGTTTTGTTCCACAAGGTTGCAGACTCTTGCCTTGCAGTGATCACAAAAAGAATGCAAAAACATTCATGTTCTCATTTTCATATCTACCTTTGCTTTATTATGATTTTTTTTTGTTTCAAGTTGGCAGGCAGCAAAAGTATTTTCGAAGTCACAGGCATTTATTCTGTTTCACGTCTCTGTGGTTTGTGTGCTGCAAACCCTCTCTCAATTTAATATATGCAGGTGCATTTTGTAAAACTGTACTGGCTTGGAGAAACTTAAGTAAAAAACAGAGTGATTTGGGGGTTTATGCCTGTTGGAAAGGGAAGGGGGAGAGGGAAAGCTTAAAGGGAAAAAGCCTTGTAGGAGATTAATTAAAGATCCAATAGAGAAAAATCTCTAGGAAAAAACAAACCCAATAAAGTACTTAGAGGTCTGATTTCTGAGTGATGGGCACACATATTTGCCATTGCTGTTAATGAGAGCTTAGTGTGCACATGCGCAGCTGCCAGGGAATATGAAACCCTTAATGTACAGCTCACTTTGATTTTATATTCATAAGAGTCTTTAGTTCAACTAAAGCTTTTCAAGACCCAGCATCAGATATAATGAGGTTAAATACATCTCACAAGATCCTTCCCTGCTTGGTTATTTGGTGATGCAGTGCAGTTAAATGCATGGCATAAAGAAATGCATTACCTGAAAGTTTACTCCTGACAGCTCATTTTTGTGTCCTTTCAAAGAAAATCAGGTGGGAAACATCATCTCTTGAGTTTAAGTTCCTATTGCACAGTCTCTGCAGTGCTAAGAGGGGAAAAAACAAGAAACAATTTCTTACTGTTCAGCTTCAGCTTCTGCAAAGCATTGGGATAAGATGCTCATTGTAGCACCAGCACCTGAATATGCCCTTCAGGTGGCTCTTCATCTGTCTGCTCTGCCTTCTGGGAAAGGAGGAGATGAGGTGTGACTTCAGTGGATGCAGCCAGCTCATGGGCCTGGCATGTCATCCCTACCTCTAATGCACCTAATTCTGCAGGCAAATGTTTAAGATTGAGGAAGAACTTCTTTCCATTGAGCGTGGCAGAGCACTGGATTAGGCTGCCTAGGGAGGTCATGGATTCTCACATTCAAAATCCACCTGGATGCATTCATATGTCACCTGCTCTAGGTGACCCTGCCTGGGTGGGGGAGTTGAACTAGATGATCTCCAAAGGTCTCTTCCAAGCCTGACTATTTGGTGATTGTGATTTATCCTCTGCCATTGCCACCTTCTCTTCCTGATAATCCACCATCATACTGGTCTTTTGGGGCCAAATACTCTTCTTGCCCCTTATCCCTACTTCTGTTACCCATTGGCATGTGTTTTGGCTGAGCTAATGTTCTGAAGAACTTTAGCAGGACACCATGATCTAACTCCTTGTGCTGTCTTCTACCCTCACCTTCCCTGCTAGTGTCCAAGTCAGGGTGATTTGAAATCTTTTGGTGGCTTGATGGGGAGTTTTTTGATAGTGAAAATAACAGGTAATCGGTCGTAGACTTGCGAATTAGGAGTTTGAAAGCATGTTGGGAAGAGACTGTCTACTAAAGCATTAATATTCATGAGTGAGAAATTAATGTCCCTTTCTGCTATTTGAACTATTATTAATTCTTATTATGATTTTGAGAGCCATTATACACATTGATAGGCTAATGAACAGTCATTTATAGAGGGATTTTAAGACAGTTTATTCCTAGGAAGAAAATGCTAGCACTCTAAGATGTGCTTCACACTATTTCAAACCCCTAATTCTTGTTGCTTACTTTACTGCACATCAGGGTGATTTCTACCTAATCCAACTGTCTAAAGTAATCTACGATTTCCAATCAATCTTCTCTTTATTTGGCCTTTACTGCCATATCTACAAATCCGTATTCTTACCAACTCTACTTAAAAAACATCCATAAACAACAATTAGGTGTTTTCAGTGGTTTTGGAGCTCTTCTGTATGTTAATAGTCCTGAGGCAATGTAAAAAGAAAAAAAAATCTTTTTCTTCAATATAATTCCCACTGTAGCTGATTCTTTGGCTACTTTCTGCTAATTACTCTGCCTGGTCAGTACTGAGCAACTAGAAAATTTCCCTTCTTCCTAAGATTGTTGAGAAAAAGAAGTCATATTATCTGTTTTTCAAAAACTGGAATAATTAGCATGCAGGATGTAGGTGTGCATTACAGTTAGTGGGAATGCTTAATAATGCCAGAAATAACCAACCTGATTCCCACACTGCCATGATGATTATATCCTTCATCCAGCACTGAAGATCCCTTAGTCAGGGCCATACACTTGCTAAATAACATGAAGTGGTCTGAAAACCTAAATGTAGTAGATAGAAACAAGTTATCAATAATATTTGTTGAGGATTTAGTGATTCAGCTAGATGTTGCAGGAGGAATGGGTACCCAAGATATTCCATGGATTTGTTATTCTGATGTTATTTTAAAGCCTATGTGGAAAAATTGCATAGCAAGCTTAATATTAATTTTCCTGGATGCTGCCATTTTAATTAATATCTTTATTATGTGCAGGGGAACCAAATTTAACAGTACTGTGTGTAGGCAAATTTCTTTCTCTTCACCTTCAATTTCCCCTATAAATAACTTTAGATATGGCCCTACTATTAGAACAATTTAGATATGACCAGAATATTAGCAGATAATTCAGGGCATTATAGAATCTCAGAATTCTGCTTGCCGGGCTGGAGCTGGATAATTACTGTCCATATAGCTTATATCAGAGAACTTATAAATGATAAGTGGAAGTCCACAAGACCTCTGACCTAATGCTAATTTTGTTTCTTAGGATTTGGAAAGTAGTTTTGTTTTTTTTTTTTTTTTCTCCAAGAACTTTGTCTAGTATTACTGGCAAGTCATTTTGTGGTATTTGGGATGAAATGTGCACTTTCAAAGTGTCCAAATGCTGCTATGAAGTCAGGTTCAGCCACACTTAAATTACTCAGTACCACAAATAGTCCTATTGATTTTCTGGAAGATCAACAGACGTGGTTCAACAGATTGTCTGCAAGTAAAATTGTGCTTCATGTGAGTAAGGTGGTAGAAGTGCCAATAACTGAAACACTTAATCACCTTATTTACAGAATTCAGCCTGCATGGCCATACAGGCTTATGCCAGGACTTCAGCCACTGAAATGATAAAAACCTCCCCCAAAAATCTGTTAAGAAATATGAGCAGGTAAATGTGTTAGTTGATTATAAATCTTTATTTTAATTGAACTAGTTTTCTTGAAAGTTCTCAGGCAGAAGGCATGGAAAAAAAAGAAATTTGTCTATTACAATCTTCTGTGTAGTGATGGCTGATATCCACAGCACAGGAAATATTGAAATATCCACTACTCCTTCCAGATCTTTTTAGCTGGAGAAAGCTGTATAGACTGTGCATCTGTATAGACAGTGCATCTGTCCAACTGCAGTTACCCAAAAAAAAAACAACCCACTGATATTCCACAAAGGAAAATTCCATCCAGTTCCCAAAGCTGCAACATCTGTCTCTGGTTTGGAAGGCTTGAGTTCAGGTCTTTGATTTTCTCTGCAACAGGTTGGAAAGATTACTATGTTGGAAAGATTTTTTTCAATGAGGTCTAGTGATTATGCCTTCATTTCAGTTCCTTATCTCTAATATGAATTTAATAGGTGTCGTGTAAGTGCTGTAGATAAATAGGAGATTTATTGTTGAAAATGCACACACAGAGGCAGATGTGTGTATATTTATATATATACTCTAAGTAGAAATCCTTTTGCCAGAATTATGATTCTCCTGCAGACAGTTTTCTGAATGGATATATCTGTTACTGCTGTGGGTTTCCCACTTGAGGCAGATGAACAGAGGAGTGAGATTAAGAATAAAAAATAAAAAAAAAAGTAGTGCTGAAAACCTGACTTGCAGGTGGAATCCACAACCTGATATGTCTCAGGTCTCAGTGTGAGGAGCAGAAAACATAGGATCCACATCTGCTACCAGGTCCCTGGAGAAGGGACACATACCTGAAGAGAGCCTACAAGAAAGATGGAGAGACACTATGCACAAGATCATGGAGTGACAGAACAAGGGGGAATGGCTACAAACAGAGAGAGTAAGGTTAGGTTGGATACTGGGGAGAAATTCTTCCCTGTGAGGGTGGTGAGGCACTGGCACAGGTTGCCCAGAGATGCTGTGTCTGCCCCATCCCTGGCAGTGTTCAAGGCAAGGCTGGATGGAGCTCTGCACAACCTGGTCTAGTGGAAAGTGTGCCTACTCATTGCAGGGGGGATTTGAATGAGGTGATCTCTAAAGGTGCCTTCCAACCCAAACCATTCTATGATTCTATGCTTTGTAAGGCATCAGAAATAGTTAGTATATGTGGCTTCAGTTCTGGCAATCCCCCTTGGATCAAGCCCCCCAGACACTTTGGCCAAGTAATTCCCCATCTCTAGAGCTCAGGCTTTTCAGCCATGGCAGGAAATGAAGCATTTCTCTGCATGGGGAGAAGTAGAGCCATAGGCACCTAAAGTTCTTCGAAGTCCACAATCACAGCATCTAATTAGTTTATGCACCTTCAGGGATACGTGGCAGCTGAGTAAGTTTTTTC